TTTGCAATTGTCTGATGTTATTGTTACTAGTACTTGCCTGTTTGATGTGTTTCCCAAATAAACATCTTCTCTTTCATCCTTGGTGTGTCAGACTGTGTGATGTTGATTCAAGGGTCATCATCATTACAAACCAGGGAACCCAATCATCCAGCGGCTTCTTCAGCTAGCACTACAAAAAAACATACTTACTAGACCATAGAATTCGATATTGTCTTGCCTGAATCTAAAGTTCTCCCTTCGCTCCTCTCTTCCAGTGCTACCATCCTTACTGGGAATCTCTCACATGCACAGACACATTGCAGTCTTTTTCCAGTTTTTTGGCGGAGATTCTGTGATGTGTGTGCATGTGCAATGTCTCTCAAATGGCTCCTGGGATAGCGATGTCACACATTCCAGGAGGCAGCTTGCAAGATGTGCATGTGCAAACACATGTCTACACATGTGGGGGGCTGCAATGTCATCCTGGTCTAGGCTGGGATTTAGCAAGTGTAACATGGACTGCACTTCATAACTCCTATGAAACGTCTTCCTTTGTTGCTTCTGTATTATCCTTCTTCAGTATGGACAGGGTTAAACTGGATGCAGAAGAGCAGCAGCTATTTTTAAAGAGACCACTTTGCAATGGTCATCTATGGGGTGTCACAAGTACAGAGGGAAGCCATCTTGGCTAGGCCTGTGTCGATCCTGCAAGGACAGTGATTGGCTTCTGCAATCAAACAAGCAGAGGAGGTTCTGCAGACTGCTAAGAGGAATGAAGAAGACAGTCGTAAAAGAGATGGGGTGAGAAAAAGAGACTAGACTGCTGGTTAAACAGAGAGGCTGAATTGCTGGCTGAACAGAACCCAGTCATAGCCAGTAGATCTCAGAGAGAATGTTTATTGCACAGGACATTGCCACAAGGATGGGAAATTTCTTCCTGGGAAGGTGTGAGGTGTGATTTGGATGTTTGGTGAAATGGATTTGTACTACACAGTGCTCTCACTGCTTGTAAGGAAAAAAAAAAGGACTGTCTCAGCAGGATTGAAAGAGAGAAATCACAGCAACTCCTACTTCTATCTTAGGCCTTGAACTGAATAGGAGCACATGTCCAGAGACCCAGAACAGAGTTCCCTGGTCCTGGTAGGAGACTAACATTGCACAAGTTAATCTGTTGTCTGCTGGGGGCTGTTGTACTTTCTTCAAGGCCCCAACTTTGCTGGCCAATGTTTTTCGTTTATAGAGCAAAAAATTAAAAACCCAGTGATGATCAAATACCACAAAAAGAAAGCTCTATTTGTGTAAAAAAATATATAAATTTAATTTGTATACAGTGTTGCAGGACCTTGCAGTGCCGTATAGCATAAAATGGTCTGGTCACGAAGGGGGTAAAATCTTCCGGAGGTCAAGTAGTTAAACAAGCTGCTAGCAGGCTCTAGTAAGATTTCAACAAGCTCCAAGTAGTACTAAAGGCTTGGCTTAATGATTTATTTGAAATATACCAACAGGGCCAGTGCTAGACTATTTCATGCAAGAAGACCAGCTACTTGCAGCCCACCCCAAAAAAAAAAATAAATAAAATTTCCTAATTTTTTAAAACAATAGAAGAAATAAAAGAACAAAACATTAAACTGCTAAATGTGCCAAATGTGCCAAAGGGTAGGTGCAGTGTTCTGTAAAGTAGATTGGTATGGGGTGGGGGTGCAGGGTTCTGTAGTGGAGATCAGTATGGGGTTGTGGATTTCAGATTTGTACAGAGTGATCAGTATGGAATAAGAGGTGCAGAGTTTTGTGTGGAGTGGGGGATGCAGTGCTGTACAGGGTGATCAGCATGGGGTGTAGTATCGATCAATATGGGGTGGGGTGCAGATTTGTACAGAGTGATCAGTATGAGGCAAGGGTGCAAGGTTCTGTAGAGTGATCAGTATGGGTTAGTGGGGTGAAGTGTTGTACAGAGTGGGTCAGGGTGGGTGCAGGGTTGTGTAGAGTAGATGAGTATGGGGGGGGGGGTCCAGTATTCTGTAGAGTAGATTAGTATGAGGTGGGGGGAGGATGTATTTGGTGCAATATTCTCTAAAGTGATCGTATGGGGGTGTGGGGGGGGTGCAGTGTTCTATGGAATGGAGGACGGGGAGAGGGTTGTGTAGAGTATATCAGTGAGGGGTGCAGTGTTGTACAGGGTAATCAGTATGGGGTGAAGGGTGTTTCGTTCTATGGGTGGGGGGGGTGGGTGTATATTGAGGGGTGCAGTGTTCTGTAGAGTGATCAGTATGGGGTGAGGGTTGCAGTGTTGTAAAGGATGATTGGTGAGGGAGAGAAGGGTCCTGTAGCGTGATCAGTGAGGGGTGCAAAGTAGATGGGTTGGTGCAGGAAGAGGAGAGGGTTCTTGCACAGGGTCAAGCGGGACCCCAGACAGCCTGACACAGTCGGAGGGTCCCCGGATCACAGCCCTCTGTACTGATCAGAGGTGGGAAGGGAGGAGGGCAGCTGGTACTCGCGATTTGGGCAGCAGCAGAGCCCGGTCTCTTCTTGAAGCACATTTGTTTGGCTGGGGAGTGAGCAGGCACCAAGAAGGAGGGACCCAGGAATTGGGACTCACAGGAGGGACCCGGGGACACAGAAACAGCCAGTGCCACACTGGGCATGCTCCCCGTCCCCACTTTCACTTCTGATCAGTTGCTGCTGCTCCACGTCAATCTCTGAGAACTGGGCACAGCACCGATCAACGGGATCTGTCAAACTGTAGCCACCTGTGGCTGAGATTGGGCTCAAACATTCTGCCCAGGATACTGGAGCAGCACTGCATGTGGCTAGGGTGGCACTCAAATTCAGTCATACCTGACACAGGTGCGGCAGAGAGTAGAGTAACCAGCAGCCGTGGCTGCGCCCTAGGAGGCAGTGAGCCCTAGGCGGCTGCCTAGTTCACCTAGTGGTAGTGGCGGTCCTGTATACCAAAGAGTGTCAGTAGGTGTTCGGTGAGCAAGATGTGTCATCTTCATGTGTGCAGATAAATCACAAGACAATACAATGGCTCCTCCGGGGTAGTGCTACATAAGCAAGTGTTAAAAAAAGTTTACACCTTTCAAATAAATATTTTTACTAATGTGTAGGAGGGAAGGGAGAAGACAGGAGAGGGGGCCTTGAGAAAATGGGCATAGTTGTGCTTTAATTTAAATGTGTTTTTTTTTTGCTGCAATCTTAGTAAATACATTTTATGATTTTATAATATCTCCTCTATAAGATATTTATATGGGCAGCACAGTGGCTAAAGGGTTAGCCCTTCCGCCTGGCAGTACTAGGGTCGTTGCTTCAAATCCCAACCACAGCACCACCTGCCTGGAGTTTGCATGCTCTCCCTGTGCCTGTGTGGGTTTCCTCTGGGTACTCCAGTTTCCTCCCACACTCCAAAGACATACTGGGAAGTTAATTTGATCCTGTCTAAATTGGCCTTAGTATGCGTATGTATGAATGTAAGTTAGGGACTTTAGATTGTACGACCCTTGAGGGTTAGGGACTGATGTAAATGTACAATATATATGTAAAGCACTGCGTAAAATTGACAGCGCTATATAAGTACCTGTAATAAATAAATATATGCCACTACCAACACAAATCCAAAAAGCACAGCTCCTTCTTCTAGTTTGTATACAGCTTTTCAAGCAAGCTGCAATAAATTGCTCTGTGATTTTAGACTGTAATTGTGCTGTAAACCATCAGTTCCCAACGCACAGTTGGGCATAAACAAATAATTTGCAGGAAAAAAACCTTCTTCTAGATTTGTGTAGGAAGTGATAGTATAGAAATATCTCCTCTTCTAAGAAGGCTCAAGGCTGATGCTGCTGCATTCTGCAAACATATGCTACATATAAAGTACTGTATGTGCAGGCATCTGACTGCATGGATTTAAACTGAAACATATTACAGGCGTACCTCAGTTTACGAACGCCTCGGTTAACGTGATTTTCTGTTTACGAATGAAAATCCATTGAAAATAATGCCTCGGTTTACTAATTTATTTTTGCAATACGAACGGATTAATTGGTTTTCAATGCATTTACTAATTTTTTTGAATCATGTCCCTGTACAGTACTATGCCTTTAAAGTGCACTTTATAAAGAGTTTTGAACAGATAAAACTTTTTTTGACTTGTTTCTGACTTCCGGAACGGATTAATTGGTTTTCAATGCATTTACAAATTTTTTTTTTTAAATCATGTCCATTTATGCCTTTAAAGTTCACTTTATAAAGAGTTTTGAACAGATAAAACTTTTGTGGACTTTTTTCTGACTTCCAGAACGGATTAATTGGTTTTCAATGCCATTTAGAAATTAATGTTTAATTATTTCCCTGTACAGTAGTTATGCCTTTAACCACTAGCCTGCAGGGCACTTTTACCCCCTTCCTGCCCAGGCCAATTTCCAGCTTTCAGCGCTGTCACACTTTGAATGACAATTGCGCGGTCATGCAACACTATACCCATATGAAATTTTTATCATTTTTTTGAGACAGATAGAGCTTTCTTTTGGTGGTATTTAATCACCTCTGGGATTTTTTCTTTTTTCTTAAACAAACCAAAAACCACTGAAAATTTTGAAAAAAAAACGTTTTTTCTTAGTTTTTGTTATACAATTTCGTAAATAAGTGATTTTTCTCCTTCACTGATGTGTGCTAATGAGGCTGCAGTGATTGGCACTGATAGGCTGCACTGATGGACACTGATAGGTGGCACTGATGGGCACTGATGAGGAGGCACTGGTAGGTTGCACTGATGGGCATTGACAGGCATCACTGATGGGCACTGAAAGGCGACACTGATACATGACACTGATACATGACAGTGATATATGGCACCGATAGGCGGCACTGATAGGCGGCACTGACTGGCACTGTTAGGCAGCAGTGACTGACACTGTTAGGCGGCACTGACTGGCACTGATAGGAGGCACTGACTGGCACTGATAGGCGACACTGACTGGCACTGATAGGCGACACTGACTGGCACTGATAAGTGGCACTGATTGGCAGCACTGATAGGTGGCACTGATAGGCATTGATAGGTGGCACTGACTGGCACTGATGGGTGACATTGAAAGGCAGCTCAGATGACACTGATATGTGGCATTGATGTGCACTGGTATGCACTGATATGTGGCATTGATGTGGCACTGATGGGCACTGGCAGGTGGCACTGATGGGCACTGGCACTGATGAGCACTGACAGGTGGCACTTCTGGGGCCACACTGATCATCAGGGCACACTGATCATCAGTGCCCTGATGATCAGTGTACATGTCCCCTCCGCGGAACGCTGATCACCGGCTCTCCTCCCGAGCTGTCAGCATGACAGCTCGAGAGGAGAGAAATGCCGATAATCGGCATTTCCGTGTTTACATGTGATCAGCTGTGATTGGACACAGCTGATCACATGACCGAGCCGACATCTTCGTCTCTTTCCGTGATCGGACTGCCGATCGAGAGAACCACCTTGCGCCCATCATTGTACTATAGGGCGGGCGGAAGGTGGTTAAAGTGCACTTTATAAAGAGTTTTGAACAGATACTTTTCTTTTTACTTTTTTCTGACCTCCGGAACAGATTAATTGGTTTACAATGCATTCCTATGGGAAACTGCATTTCTTTTTACAAATTGTTTGCAATACGAAAAATCCCACAGAATGAATTAAATTTGTAAGGTGAGGTGCGCCTGTACTTAGTTTTTTGTACTAAATATAAAGGATTAGTTGATCCTGTGTGCACCTGGCTATGGAGAGTTCACTAGAATGAAGAAATAAAGTAAATCATTGATGTACAAATCAAATGAAAAGGAGATCTTTCAGAGGTCTTATAACTCCTACAGAAGTGTACCTTGCATCTGTAAGAGAACTCTAGCCAGCTTGTGCATTTACAGCTGAAATACATTCATGAAACCTGTTTTACTTGTCATAGAATTTGTAATCCTGTTCAGCTACTATTGTAACTATTGTGTAGGTGCAAATATGTCGCTTTTACTCATGTGTGGTGTGACTTTCTTCTCTTCCTGGAATGAAAAGGTTCCAGGGGTAGAAAATCCCGCTAGATCATGTGCCTCTACTAACACAGACACAGCTCTGCTTCTCCATTTGTTGCAGGAGATCAGCCAAGAATCATTGGCCAGGACCTGCTGACAAGCATGTCCTGCAGCGAATGACGGAGGGATCAGCAGGGTGGCGCACGCATGCATGCGCCAAACCTGAAAAAACACAGTGACATATGGGTCCTTCACTGGTCGCATAGTGGCCCCGATCCTCCATCCTCGGATCCCCCGCTGGCGCTCCTGGCTCTTCTCCCCTGCCGAGTGCCCCCATAGCTAGCCACTTGCTATAAGGGCACTCGTGCAGGCTCACTGCCGAGCCCTGCTCTGTGTGTCCATTGACACATACAGCGTGGCTCAGCCCCACCCCCTCCTCATTGGCTATGATTGTCAGCAGTGGAAGCCAATGTCTCAGGGTCCAGCGATGTGCTGTCCCATCCCTCCTCCCCCCCCCGGCGCCAGCATCTTAACTGTGGGCACCAGGCTGTGGCAACTTGCGCATGGGCCTATCCCATGAGGAAGTCATGTGATTTGTGATGTAACGCCTAGGAAGGAAGTGTGGTGACATAATTTTTGGTCGGACGGCGGCTGCCATCTTGTTACACCTGTTTCTGTGTATTTTATTATCAATGCTTGTATGGGTCTGCTGGCCTGATTTTAAAAGTTGAATAATCTCTACCTAGTTTTTATGCATTAAACATGGAGTATTACACTATGAGATGTTCTTTGATATTTTTTTGAATATGGATTTCTGATGAGGAATTGGAGAAGGAGCCAAAAAAGTACACTTATAGAGGAGAGCTGGTTGGATTTCAGGTTGATATTAAAGCGCATTTGAGCTATATTCCTTATAGGTCAAAATGGGAGGAAAGCGTGCACGCTCGCTGGTGGAGGATTTTTAACGTTGACTGTAGCAATTGTACGTACAAATATGGACGCGAACATTCATTTTGGTATAGACCCTCCATCTTGTATCATTTCTCACTCCAAATCAGCTCCCCCCCTCCCTCTCTGTTGAGTGACACGTGGTCCTTGTGTGCTGGGTTCAGGAGTGCGCAGGACACAGCTGGATATCCTTCATGGTTGTAAACCCAATTAGCTGATTCCAGTGTGTCTGGCAAACTCTTGCCCTGAAGCTGATCATAAAGCTATAAACCCATCAGTCACTGGACTTCAAACGCATTCCGAAATAGCAGTAAAACCTGTATCCCATGTGAAAACACTTTTTCATACAATTTCGTAATTTCTCGTAGGTATACATACCATAAAACAAGAAATACAGTTGCAAGAAAAAGTATGTGAACCCCTTGGGATTACGTGGAGTTTTGCATGAAATGGGCATAACATGTGCTATGTCACAACAATAGAAGAACACAGTCTGCTGAACATAATACTACACAAACATTAGATGTTGCCATGGTTTAATTGCACATAACATGTAAACATTCACAGTGCAGGGAGGAAAAAGTATGTGAACCTTTGGACTTAATAACTGGTTGACCCTCCTTTGGCAGCAATAACCTCAACCAAACGTTTCCTGTAGTTGCAGATCAGACCTGCACAACGATCTGGAGTAATTTTGGACCACTCTTCTTCACAAAACTGTTTCAGTGTAGCAATATTCTTGGGATGTCTGGTGTGAATTGCTCTCTTAAGGTCATGCCACAGAATTTCAATCGGGTTGAGGTAAGGACTCTGACTGGGCCACTCCAGAAGGCGTATTCTGTGCTGTTGCAGCCATTGTTTTGTTGAATTACTTGTATGCTTTGGGTCATTGTCGTGTTGCATCACCCATCCTCTGCGGAGCTTCAGTTGGCGGACAGATGGTCGTACGTTTTCCTGCAAAATGTCTTGATAAACTCTGGAATTCATTTTCCCATCAATGACAACAATCCGTCCAGGCCCTGAGGCAGCAAAGCAGCCCCAAACCATGATGCTCCCTCCGCCATGTTTTACAGTGGGGATGAGGTTTTGATGTTGGTGTGCTGTGCTTTTTTTTCTCCACACATAGTGTTGTGTGTTCTTCCCAAACAACTCAATCTTGGTTTCATCTGTCCACAGTATATTTTGCCAGCAGTGCTGTGGAACATCCAGGTGCTCTTTTGCAAACTTCAAACGTGCTGCAATATTCTTTTTGGACAGCAATGGCTTCCTCCGTGGTGTCCTCCCATGTACTTCATTCTTGTTTAATGTTTTCCTTATTGTAGATGTGTCAACAAAAATGTTAGCATGTGCCAGAGATTTCTGTAGGTCTTTAGCTGACACTCTGGGATTCTTCTTTACCTCATGCAGCATTCTGCGCTGTGCTCTTGCAGTCATTTTTACAGGATGACCACGCCTAGGGAGAGTAGCAACAGTGCTAAACTTTCTCCATTTGTAGATAGTCTGTCTTACCGTGGACACATGAACATCAAGGCTTTTGGAGATACTTTTGTAACCCTTTCCAGCTTCATGCAAGTCAACAATTCTTGATCGTAGGTCTTCTTAGAGCTCTTTTCTGCGAGGCATGGTTCACATCAGACAATGCTTCTTGAAACCAGTAAACCCAAAACAGGTGTGTGTTTTGTAAGGGCAGGACAGCTGTCAGCAACACATCCAATATCATCACACTGATTGGAGTCAAGGTTGGCTCACTCCTGGCTCCAATTAACTCTGGGAGAAGTCATTAAGCTAGGGCCTCACATACTTTTTCCTCCCTGCACTGTGAATGTTTACATGTTATGTGCAATTAAAGCATGGCAACATCTAATGTTTGTGTAGTATTATGTTCAGCAGACTGTGTTCTTCTATTGTTGTGACTTAGATGATGTTCAGAGCACATTTTATGCCCAATTCACGCAAAACTCCACGTAATCCCAAGGGGTTCACATACTTTTTCTTGCAACTGTATATTCAGAGAGGTAATTTTAAAACAAGTCACCTGATACCTTACACCCCTAGATTACGTCTACAAGAGAGCAGAAAGCGATATCTCCTTAACCGTCACAGCCAGATACATCATATGTGATGTCTGGACGTTCAGAACATCGTTCTGCATATTATCCTGCCAGTGGATAGGATGCCACATGTACCTAGGGAAGGTTATTGACCCTTGTATAACATGCGAGGGATTTTTGTTCTAGCCTGGATCTCCGCCTAACCCCCCCCCCTCCCCAAATGAGGCGATTGGCCCTTTGCTTCAGTAGACGCCCCCTGCTGGAGGACTACAAAATACGCTGTCAGGCCTGGAGAAGTAAGTTGAAGAATTCTCCCTTTTTAACATCAGGAACCAACTTGAGAGAACGGTACCCTTTGTTCAGGAAACTTGATTTGCTTAAACCAAGGCTGACGGCAAGTATTCTACCTCTCTAAACTTCTTTCTGTTATCTTTCTGTTGTGTTATTGCTCTCTGTATTTATATATATATATATATATATATATTGGCTAAATCTTTTTCTGTAAATATTTTTATTGCACCATTTTGACCTTTTTAGTAATAAATCCTATTTTCTGAAAAGTGTTGAACTGTTTCTAAAGCTCTTTAATGCAAACTAAGAATCCCTGTTTCTGAAGAGCGCTACTGTGTGTTTTTAAACTTCTGCATACATCTGCCTGCGGTGATATTGTGTATACAGACGCTTATTCAAACATCATAGTGTTACTGCTAAGATTAATGCAATAAATAATTTGCGCTAGTAAATGTATATAAATATATAAAAAATATAAAAATCATCAAATCATAAGTCCAAAAAAAATATATATGCCAATACCACAAAAAAAGTGCAAAAAAAACTTTTAAAGTGCAAAAAACTTTTGTGCAAAAAAATGTCTAAATATGAAAAATTTCACCAAAAAAAACCTTGATAATATGATGGCAGATCATCCATAGATATATTTTCAGAAACGAAACTCTGCAAACACACCAATCCTCATAGATCAAATAACAGGATGAAAGAAACTTTGCAATTAATCGGAAATCCACTTCTCCAGAAGAAAGAGACCACCTTCAATCGTATCCATGTGGGGAAATGCCAGACACTCGAGAGAAACAGAAAGACTTCATGGTGCAATATTATAAAAGCCAATTCCTTTATTAGGTACTCATTGCACTTACTCAAGAGGTGTCCCAGCCGACACCAGCATCAACAGCATGACAGCAATCACATAAAACGAGCCTAGCTACTCAGCACATGCGCAGTAGCTGGCAGCCAAAAACGTAATGACGTCACATCAATCAAGCTCCGCCCTACGCATTTCGTCATCGACGTCCTCCGCTCCGTGAGGACGTCGATGACGAAACGCATAGGGCGGAGCTTGATTGATGTGACGTCATTACGTTTTTGGCTGCCAGCTACTGCGCATGTGCTGAGTAGCTAGGCTCGTT